GGAGCTGCTGAGGGAGCGGCGAATCTATGGTAGGTAGGCTGTAGGTTGTGGATGGGGTGGTGGTGAGGAGAGGAAGGAAGGGGGAGCTGAGGAGATGGATGGGATCTCGGAATACCTCCTACGGACGGATAGGTGGGTGCCCATGATTAAATACCAAGGAGGAAAGACATCTAAGCTGGAGCTATACAGTCGGGGAAAAACACCAGCTACGTAGGACCTCTTCTACGCATAAGAATAATCTCTCCATCTTTCTATCTCTCCATCTCTCGGTCTCTTCATCCCAACTCCCCTATTCCTTCAACTCCAATAACGACCACCCAAGATTACAGCCATCGTTATCCTGGGCCTCCCATGATCCACGAAACCGACGTTCAAACAGTTTCGTCTCTTTCAGCCGCTACTGCAACTACCCGTTCAGGTCGCGTGGGTGCGCTCCTCTCATCTGCGCACTACCGGCAAGGCCAGGAACTTATGTCTACCACCTGGCAGCTTACCTCCCAACCAAACCTCTCCCCTCCCCTTTCTCCCGTTGTCCTGGAGGACGTGTAGACACGTAGAGAGGCGTGTCTTTGCTCCCCCATCTGCGAAGGGAATTCCGTGTCGACATCTGCAGGTGCTGTGCGCAGTAGGTGGATAGCAAGCAAATGCATCTATCTCTCTGATCCTGCTTGATCGAATATGTAACTGCGGTAACCGAGAGAGAGAGAGAGCCCGTTTCCCTTGCGGCAGCGACCATGAATACTTAGGCGCGGGTAAAACCGGATCGGGGTGGTGTAGAGTGTGGCTATTCCGTATATGTGGCTGCACATTCCTGAGGCCAGGAACAGCTATCATGCCCTCTCGCTTCGGTGGATGATCCGTGTAACGTGAAAAAGATGAGCGCCTGCAAGCATTCCTCGCCCGCGACCGAGAGACCCTGCAGGGCTTGGCCCTGGTAGAGAGTCAGGTTGCTGCGAACTGGTGCATCTTGCGCGAACTGGTGGAGAAGAGACAATACAGTCAATAACAGCATCCAGGTAGGGTGCTCAATTGGAAGACTGCTGGCCTGTTTGTACTCACTTCAAGCCTCGACAGACGGGAACCCGTCACATCCTCGTATGTCTTGTAATGTCAGAGGTAGTCTGGATTGCGTGGGGTGGTATTGGGCCGCTGGGCACCACGGGTGTGACAGAACCAAAGATGGTCGGTCGGTGACTGTAGGGATATAGGGAAATAGAGCCGACATGAACTTCTGTACCGAAAGCGCATGATACCCATACGTGTGTAGATTATTCTTATGTTCGCAGAAATCGTCGTGAGGTGCTCATGTACGAAAGCAGTCGATGGCCGAAAGCAGACGGATTTGCCTCTCGCCAAAATCACCTAATTCGTCCATTTCCTTTCAGAACAGCCCGTATCTCGAATACATAAAGTTCAGCTGGCTTTCCTTTCTTCAGATCTTTGATTTCAAAACAAAGACCATCTCACTTTTTTTGCCTGCGCAGTGTGTATTTCGCAGTCATTGCTTCAGCCTGAAGATTTTTGTTGACACGTTCTCCGACAAAGGAAACTTCCTAAGACCAGAGAAGCCTCAGAGCATCGCGCTGCATTGCGGTCAGGGGTATTGGACGCTGGAAATTCGCATCTGCCACTCACCCGGTGCTGCGGTTCCAGAACATCTGTCTGCCAGGGAAAGGCCCACTGCTGCAAGACGGGTGCCCGCCATAGGTTCGTACCAAACTCTCTGCCACTGCACGATCCGAGAGAAAAGACAAACCATTCCCGCCTGATTCATCTCTCAGACTGAAAGTCTAATGATCGTTACTTCAGATGAACTATCTCCCACCTGGAGAACATTGCTAGAACTTCCTTCCAGAAGCTTGATTTATTCCTCAGCACATCTTCCCGGTCTCACTTGAGCGCCGGACCTGCTGTCGCAAAAGCTTCGGAAGACGCAACTATTGACAAGGCAGATATCGCTTGGCAGCGTTCACCTCAAGCACGGAGGAGGTTCCATCGACAGCCGAAAACAAGCAACTTCAGCCAGGACTACCTCTCGACTCTGCGAACGTTCAACAGCTTCCTCCGATTTTCAACACACATGCGCCCACGCGCAATCGCAACCTTTGAAAGCATTCTACACTCTTCAGCTGCTTGAGCTTGCTTATACCCGCGGCAGCCCCAGGTTCATTGACGGTAAAAAAGAGATCGAAACCTCAACTCCTTGAGTTCAGATCAGAGATCTTTCTTCTTCAACACAATGTCACACTCTCCACCACCACCTCCGATAGAAGGCGAGATCACTCAGCATGGGCTCCACCACATCGTCCAGCATAACTCGAATACGTCCTACCCACAAGAGCAGCACTACGATGAAGGCATCCACCTCCAATCGCACTACGGCTCTCCAGCACCTCAACAAGATGACGGATATCGCTATAGCCAACAGCCAAGATATGCGTACCATCAACACCAAGACTCTGGATTAGGAAGCCAATATGTAAGGGACAACAGCGAGCTCTTGCCAAAGTCGTAACTAACATTGCGCAGGAAACCTACGGGGGCCAAATGTATCAGGACCACTACAGCACTCCGGCGACTTCGCCTCCCACACCTTCAATGAGCGCACGGGATATGCGGACAAGAAGTGGGCTTGGAGTTGGTAGGGCACCCCAGAACTTGCAACCAATGCCCGAAGGACGATCGCGGATGGTCAAATCGCCAAAGCCAAAGAAGACCAAAGCAATGAAGCCCAAAGCCGAGAAGAAGATCGCGAAGCTCGAGAAGCCACTGAGCGAACTGACTAAGGACTGGGAGCACCTACCAATTGTGGACATTGAGGCATACGTCAACAGATCAGCAGAGGACCGAAGAAGAGAGGTAGACACTGGAAAGATTCCTGGCAAGGTCAAGCGCCCAATGAACTCCTTCATGTTGTACAGAAAGGCGTACCAAGGTCGGACAAAGGACTGGTGCCTCCAAAACAACCATCAGATCGTCTCTCAGGTGTGCGGTGATAGTTGGCCACTGGAGCCTGACCACATCAAGGAGCAGTACAGCGAATGGGCTAGGATCGAGCGTGCCAATCATCAGAATGCACACCCCGGATACAAGTTCTCGCCCACCAAGCCAGGAACTGCGAAGGCATCGAAGAGAAAGGTCTCCGAGGAGCCTCCTACCGAGGAATCCGACTTGGATGATTTCGAGTGGCAAGGTGGATCGAAGAGAAATTCTAAGAAGCATCGTCCGTCTCCAAGAATGGCTCCCCACCCAGTCCAATACCCAACTACCGAATCGGCGTATAGGTACTCTTCAAGAGACAACTCGATGGAGCCACGCCACAACTTCCACCCATCTTCTTACCAAGCCAACAATCCTGGAAGACCGCTGCCACCTCAATACAACCAGTCGAACCTGCGCCAAGGAGAGTACTACCAGCAGATCATCCACAACCACCAGAACATGGTGAACGTCGAAGATGTCGTCCTGAAGAAGGCGACTACTCCAGGACCACATTCATACTTGGGACTTCCAGGTGGCCACGAGTACGATATGATGCACTACCAGCAATACCAAGGTTCACCAGCCCCAGAGCACAGAATCGATCCGTCGTTGGGGCACCAAGACCATGCAATCTTCGACAACGCCAGCTTCCACGAGCCCGCTGGTCAGCCAAGCATGTACTATACTGCCAGCCAGAACGGTGATCATCAATGGGATACCCCGTTCGGAGCTCACGAGCAAGACCCTATGCCATTCATCGACCCTGCCCTCAGCTTGGACGGTTCCCAAATTCACGACCCGCATGCGCACATCTTGAAGGGCAACCAGGAGGGATGGCACGTCGAGACTCTTGACGAGGAAGACCAATTCAACAAGTGGATGGACGGCGCTTAAGTATTGTGTGATATTTTGAGGCGAATTTGTATTGACCCGCTCAGATCAGTTCGTTTTTCGTGACCATGGAACGTGGTGGTAAATGGAGAGGCAGACTGATAGGCATTTTCAGGTAGCGATAGGCGGCGTTGGAAGGATGGATATTGACATTGTGGAGATGATATGGGGATTTGGCGTTGACTGTAGTCCTTGAGATACCGCTTAGCCCAGGGGGCCAAATATTGTATGTAATAATTGATGAGATTTTGTCAACTCTGATTTCCGATTGCTCGGCCGTGAGTGCGAGAGGTATTCGTTAAGTCAACGCTTCCCTCTCAAGAACCCCTCTCAATAACAATTTCAGTGATATTGCCATGAGTTTATACGTCCAGAGTCATCAATACATCTCTCTGTTAGGATTTCTCGGTACCATCGACTGAAATTGCTGGAACTTGGGGATAATCAATTGTGTCAGAGCGGTGTGGGAACACCACGCTGAGGCCAGCAATAAGAAGATGGGGGATCTTCCTTGGATTCGAGTAAATACTCTACATTGCACCTAATAGTTCAATCTAATCAAGACTTTTGGTCGGCCGATAATCTTGCTAGTCGGGCTCGTAGATCAGGAACCGGAGTGGGAGTGGGAGGTTTGGGACAATGCCATTGTCCATGCAAGTAGCCGTGGGATCGTGCCGAGAGGCATGCATTGCCTCTTGGGTGTTCTACCCCCCGGGCACTGAAAATGACCAAATGATATTTTGTGAATTCGGGTCATCCTGCACAACAGACAAAATGAGGTCGGGGAAGATTTAGTGAGAATTTAGCCTGTATTATACGTCCCGCGCTTCTCGCTTATTTTTGGCGCGCCGCGCTCATGATAGACGCGACTAAAAGATCCCACTTTTAGGTAGATCAACGAGGCTGAGAAGTGGTTGCTGGATTCCTACGAAATATCTGTCGAAACCCCTTTTCAAATGTATGGGGATCTGGGTAATAAGCTTGTAAGGTCAACCCAGCCTGTCTCAAAATCCTGTCTAACCTCGTTTCTAGGTGCAACATGCAAAGCGAACCCAAAAGCTAGAGCATCTCCCTCCGTATCAGACCGAAACGGTGCGGGCAGTAACGCGAGAAGTGCGAGATCTGGATAAAGATGTATCGAACATCCTCCAATCCTTCAATGGCTCCTTCGATCCCTCTGCAAATCCTGCAACGGCCTGTACCCTCTTAGTCGATCACCTCTGCATGCGTCGGAACAAACGATGTCTTCTGGCATACCATCATACGCGGACTGACAAGCTGGAGGAGATGGTATGGAGTGGGAACGAAATCGCGGATCTGGCGGCGCAACAGAGGGGTCCGAAGGAGGGTCAGAATGGGGCAGCAGATCTCGGAAACGGGGAAGGGAACAGTAGCAGTCTGAGTCCTGAAGAGGAGGAATACGTCAGGCAGTATAGCGACTTACTGGCTGCTTATAAGGGGCAATGGACGGATATTGACTTGACTGGGAGTCTTGAACCCCCGCGGGATCTGTTCATTGATGTACGTGTCTTGAAGGATGCTGGGGAGATACAGACGGAGTATGGGTAAGTCATCCAAAGGCCCATGGCTTGCTGTATCTTGGACTGATTGGATGGCAGCACCATAAACCTTACCAAGAACTCGCAATTCTACGTTCGACAAGGAGATGTAGAGCGTCTTATTGCACAAGGATACTTGCAGAAGCTGAGCTGACGCACTACTCGCGGACGCAGTTCGAGGTCAACTTTCGCAGTCTGGGGTTACTCGTGGAAGGTCTATGATAGACAGGCAAAACACCCGTGGAGTTGAGTGACCATGGGCAACATGATCGAGTATAAGGCCCATGGAACCGTCAAGAGCCTCCGCGAAGATGTGCTGCGAGACGCACAGGAAATCCGTTACAGTTGGTGCCGCATAGTGGTGGAGGCAAATGCACAGCTACATACGTAGTATGGGAGGTGAGAAAACCTCGGACATAAACAAGGGTTCTCGACTGGGGAGGTTCGGGTATTTACTGTAGGCCGCAAGCGAGCATGGAGCAGACGGGCTTCCTCATTGGATGCTTGACAGCTGGGATGTTGGGGGCTCAACACGAAAGAATGCTCACAAGTGGATCCTTTTGTTAGTGTTTTTTGGCCAGGTAGGCCCCTATGACCGTTATCACTCGTGCTCAAAAGCACCGCAACAGGCCTCATCTCTTCCATTCGATGTACCCAACCCGAGTAACTTGTTCTCAAATGGATCAGCTGGACTCGCTCACCAGCTCACGTGGTACGGGCAATGGCGATGGATGGTACCATAGCGGTAGCCGCGCAATGTGGGCTCGTGTAACACATGGAAAGCTTCAATATGCGCCCAAGCTGCAGCATCCAGCGATTCAAGGCGTGGGGTGTGAGTTTACCCACTACTCTCCCCGCCCCCATGAATACGTACATATCGAAAGTATAATTTTGCAAGGGATCTATCTATCTTACCAGGTCTTACAAGTAAACCGATCAACTTACTACGTATAAGGATTCATTCAGCCTTGAACAGTATCTTTGAGCCAGTATTTAGTCTGTGCAATGGAGTTAACAGGGCTCCCAGCCATTCAGAAATCACCGCTCTATGATTTATTGGGCTGAACTGGGTCCGACATTTATCCATGGGTGGGGGATAGTACCTGAATTGAGGCCCGTCTCACAAGCTTCAGTAACAAGTGATCCTGGTTCGACGAAATTACGAATAAGAGTACAGTAATGTTTCCGGATCCGCTCCAGCCTTCGTCCGCGAGGCCGTATGAGGGAGTTTTCGTGGTTCGGATCTTCATCCTACTCATAGATAGTACCGGGTAGTACGGTAGATAGACCTTACCCTGATGGTGGCGGGGCGGCGGGGTATCTAGGAGGGTTCAAAATACGTAGTAAAGAAAAAGTAATTAAAAAAAAAAAAAAGTCGGCGAAAATCCAAAGAAATACTACCGGTACCTACTACTCACAGTAGACACCCCTCCCCCCCCCACTACTCAAGAGCCTCCACTCTCATGCCCCACCAAGCCAAGGAGCGTTCCACCGGATGACGAAACGTCCATCTCTTTTTTTTCTCGTGGAAAAGCCCGTCGGCTGCACCTTGATTTCGCTCTCCCCACTCGTTCTCGTTCCTATTTCTTGTCTCACTTTCTTATCAATTGCCCCCATGCCCAGCGTGGAATAGGCGGTTCTCATACCGCACTTAGTAAAGATAATAAGTCCAGTCTAGTCCAGTCCAGCCCAGTCCACTCAGTATTGAGCCGCACCCCACCGCGGGTCAACATCAAGATCAAGAAATTTGGGTTCAACAGTTCCCTGTCCTGTCATGGTCGTTGTATCTAGACATATGTCCCCTCCCTCTCCCATCTTTCCTCCCATCTCGAGTCCCTTCGAGTGGTGAACAGAGCACAGTGCCCTTTTTCTACTGTCGCTACCAGGGCCTCCTTCGACCATTCATGTCTTTGCCAACTTCAGGATTCGTCTCGTCGAGGAGACTGCGAGCACCCTCAGTCGGATCTCACTCGAGTCCCAGGTTAATTCCAGGATCTCTCGATGCTGGCGATGGAGGCTCGGATGGTGGCATGAACTATGGTTCGTTCCGGGGAAGACCAGAGATGTACACTTCTGGAATCAATTCTTCCATGACTTCGGATTACAGGGAACCAACAAGGTCCTCGGTACATCTCTCCTACCGCGGAATGCCTCCAGGTAAAGTCTCCAATGTCTAAAAGACGCCCTCACCTACTGATAAGAGAGCCCAGCACATGTCGATAATACATTCACTGCTCGAAGTGTCCGAGAAGATACAGCCGAACTTGCATCATACGCACTCTCAGATCGAGCCTCTGTAATAAGTGTTTCCCCACCCCGGCAGCGTACGGCGCAGACGTCCTTGGAATCGTACTTTGCGCGAGGAGCGGAGGGTGAGAATTCGCCGTTGAGTAATCCGGAAGGCCTGCATCGTCATATAATTGAAGAAGTGTCGGAGCCAGCATCTCCAGAAGAGAGCAGCCCGTCTTCGTCAGATCGAGGTCCAGGTACTTCGGTGCTCACGAACATGTTGAAAATCTCACCGTCCGAAAACCAACATGATGACGAAGGTAACTATGGAGAGAGCGAAGTTGGGACAGATGGCAACAGTGGTGTAGAAAGGGACCCCACAGAACGAACTTCTCTACTTGGAAATAAAGACACGAGATTCGAACCGCAACATCCGGATTGGATACGGGGAGAGCAGGATATCGAGGGGCAGGAATCTTCAAGGCGGCCAGCCTGGCCGAAGCTGCGCAACGTTGTATTGTGGCCCCAGGAAAAAGGGGTGGAGATTGCCCGGACCGTCTTCAACCCGAAAGCCTGGAATGGGAAGGCGATTTGGGCGCATGCTGTCACGGAACCTGCAAAAACCTTACCAGCTGTAGTTCTGGGTCTGTTGCTCAATATTTTGGATGCTCTCGCCTATGGTACGTTGCTGGGGCAATTATTGTTGGATTGTTCTTCAATCATTGTTTTTGACTTTCAAAAATACTGATTGTACCACAGGTATGATCCTTTTCCCGCTCGGAAGCCAGATCTTTGAGAAACTGGGCGCGGCTGGTATCTCGATGTTCTATCTCAGCTGTATCATATCCCAATTGGTCTACTCGTGTGGAGGCAGTTGCTTCAGGGGCGTGGTTGGGTCTCAAATGGTAAGTTCGAACACACTGATTGTCGCTGGTGATGGCCCGTTACTAATGTCAACAGATCGAGGTCGTCCCCTTCTTTCACAAGATGGCCTTCTCGATTCTGGCAACTGTCGGGGAAGAAAATCCGCAGGCTGTTATTGCAACGACGATCACTACATACGCCATAAGCTCTTTTGTTACCGGACTCGTCTTCTTCCTCATGGGCTTCTTCGGCTGTGGATATATCGTCGGTTTCATACCAAGACATATACTCGTCGGTTGCATTGGTGGCGTGGGCTTCTTCTTGGTATCCACCGGACTCGAAATAACTTCACGTCTAAATGGGAACCTCAACTACGACCTCACGACCCTGAAGAAGCTGACGGAGCCCGACACATTTGTATTGTGGATAATTCCGTTGATACTTGCATTGATACTCTACAAGTCACAGCCGATTTTCAACACAAAGAGTTTCCCGAGGTTATCTAAGTTCTACGTCCCGATTTACATCTTAGGTGTCGCAGCCGTCTTCTACTTCTTCGTGATTTCGATAGATCAGTTAGACCCCGAGCACCTTCGGAAGGCCGGCTGGATATTTGAGCGTCCAGAGGCAGGAGAACCATGGTGGTACTTCTACACGCTCTACGGTAGGCTCTTTCCATCCGTATAAACTGAATTATGCTGACGGTGAGAAGACTTCAAAATCGTGCATTGGGGAGCTGTTGCCGAGTGCTTCCCGTCCATGCTTGCTCTCACATTCTTCGGGGTCTTGCACGTGCCAATCAACGTCCCAGCTCTCGCTTTCCAGATCAAAGAAGACAATCTTAATCTCGACAGGGAACTGATCGCTCACGGCGTATCCAACGTCCTGTCTGGCTTTGCAGGCAGCGTCCAGAATTACCTAGTGTATACGAATACTGTGCTTTTCATCAGATCTGGTGGAGACAGCCGACTGGCAGGAATCATACTTGCGATCTGCACAGCTGGAGTTATGGTGATCGGCCCAGTTGTCATTGGCTTCATACCTACCATGATGGTAGGGACGCTGATTTTCCTGCTTGGATTCGAACTTTTGAATGAGGCGCTTTGGTCCACGAGAAAGAAGCTCCATTACTTCGAGTATTTCACTGCAAGTTCTCCTTGGCCCTGTGGATTGGTGCGAACTAATCTCTCTAGGTACTCGCGATTGTAGTCATTATGGGGGTGTACGACTTCGTGGCTGGCATTTGTTTTGGCGTCGCTCTTGCATTTGTTTCCCAAGTGGTTCAGACGTCGAGAATTCCAGCGGTACGAGCCACGTATTCTGGTGAGATCGCTGGATCTACCGTTCGCAGAAACCCGACCCAGTATCGCTACCTTCGAGAAGTGGGGACACAGATCAATGTCACAAAGCTGGCTGGCTATCTGTTCTTTGGTACCATTGTCAGTGTCGAGGAGCGGATTCGAGGACTAGTCGAAGACAAGGCATTCGACGAAAGGCCAATTCGCTTCTTAATCTGCGATCTCGTGCATGTTACGGGGATTGACTACTCGGCTGCTGAAGCTTTCAACCGAATTTTTCGTATACTGAATGCTAAGGGAGTCGCGCTACTCCTGAGTGGTGTAGACTGGGATGAGCCGCTGGGCCAAACCCTCCGGGCCGTGGGACTCGGTGAGGATGGAGTCGACGTCAAGATTTTTGATGAACTCAACTCGGCGCTTGAAAGCTGTGAAAACGAGCTGCTCAAAACTTTCTACGCCAGCACAGCGGCCCGCGTAAGATCTAACGACACAGCCTCTTCCTTCCTCGACGTTCCTGGTCGTCCACGAAGCCCCTCTCATATAATCGATGCCCAATTCAGCTCGCCACGAGGTAATCACCTTCGCCGCGTGGCCACTACCACCCTAGATGACAACCCGGGCGAATCAAGATACTTGAATTTCAAGGAACCGCTTCGCTTGATCCTCCGGACCTTCCATGGTTTGACAGAAATGAACGAAGACTTCTGGTTCCAGATCCTCCCCTTCTTCGTCAGGAAAGAATACCGTGCTGGCGAGGTCCTTTATCACCGTGGCGAAGAAGCAACAGGCTTCTACCTCCTCGAAGACGGCATCCTCCGCGCCGACTACGAACTTCCTCAGGGTCGTTATTTTGAAAGCATAGTAGCAGGCACCACGTGCGGCGAACTCCCCTTCTTCTCCGAAACTGACCGTACTGCAACGGTGCAAGCTGAGCGTGACTGCGTGACTTGGCTGTTGGATAGGGAGAATTGGGTGAAGCTGCAGAAGTCTGAACCGGCTGTTGCACAGGAGTTGCTGAGGATCTCGCTAAAGCTTACGAGCGAGCGAATGAGTGCTATCACTAGCTATGTGCTGACTACTGCTGGTTGAATTGTGTGTGTATATTGTGTGATATATATTCGGGTGGGCGGGAAAAGCATGGGGATGGATAGTGTATCTGTGCTCCGGGATGGGAGGTCAACTGGCTATTTTCCACGTAGCATGCCTGGAGTTTGGGCATATGGTTGGAAAATTTGATTATGTAATTCTCTACTGCCATAGAAAGAAATTGCAGTTGACAAAAAACGACAGATGACTATTGGGCTGCTGAGGAGACGAAGGGACGTTCCAGCTGCTAATGTAGAGGTATTTACTTACGTAAGCCCACTTTCGCGAATGCGGGATATTCAACCCGGACCTACACTTCCATTTCTCTTGTTGTTGTTATTTGTCCAGCTCTTCTGGGTGTGTCCATCGGTCGCCAGCTTGAAAGGTGCATATTTAGCTCATGTTCACCGAACTTATATTCAAATCAGAAAAAGGCAGAGCTTGAGCTCGTACTCCTCCACTCCACCTTTCGACCTGTGCTTGGCATCAAATTGGCACCGCTGGCCTCAGAACCGACCGCAAAAGCGACAACCCATCGATACAGCAGCTTCGAACATTATCCTGTGTCTTGATATCCCGCGGCCCCGATCAGGCCCTCCGTTGTGCCAAGGCTAACGCATCCGCGTTGACACCAAGTGGCACAGCAAAGCCGTGTGCACACCTCTCACCGTCCGTTGTCCAGATTAGCTGACTTACAACCAGCAGAGGAGCTCGAGTCCAACGTCGCCAATTCGAGATTCTCGTTAAGATGACGGATGCCCATGTGGATCTTGGGGTGCCCGCTGACGATGGCTCTCAAAGGGCACCGGCAGACGCGCTTGAAGTGAACTCAAGAAGTCTGGTTCAAACCCCAACAAGTGATGTTCTGGGAGCACATTCACGGAATCTCCATCTATCCACAGAGCAGGCGACGGCCATGTCGAAAAGCATTCTGGACATCTTTGAGCTAGACGAGGAGCCTCGGAATGAGGATCAGAGCATGGGGGAGGATGGCGAGCGAGAGGACGAAGAAACTAACATGGGAGACCAGCAACGGAGAACTGAGAGGCTGGGAGGGGCTTTGCCTGTTCTGAATCAGTTGTGGTGTTCCGATTCAGATCAGATTGAGTTGGTAACTGAGAAGCTAGCAGATGGGAGTCGAGATCGTAAGTCTTATTTTTTACCCCTTGCATCTTACATATTTTTTGATTCCATGTATCATGATGCCTTTTCCAACCCACAATCTCCCGTACGGGTCCCTAATTTCAAAGAGTGCTTTCCGGATTTGAGGTCCGTATCATGTGACTATACTGACTTCCTCTAGCGAAGTGGCGCATACCCCTCGGTGACTCGGGCATTCTCAACTTCTTTCTCGAGAAACTTAGTGGGTATACGCTACGACATACTTTAAACATCCATGTCTTACGGTTAATTGGAAACTCTTGTGCCGATACTGGTAAGCTCGACTGCTTGAATGAATAAATGTGGAACTGATCGTCGCAGACGTGAACAGAGCACGAGTTGTAGCATCTAATTATATGCGTTCTATTGTTCTGAAACTGCAGGACGAATCTCTAACTGCGTTTGCGATACCTGTGCTGTTTAATATCTGTATTGATTATGGTAAGGATCCATAACGGTGTTTTTTTGGCACTGTATTGACCTCGTCAGAACCTGCCCAAAAACAGGCATCCGAATGCTTTCTGACACAGGAGCTTATTGCCCTAGTCTCGAGCCCAAAGTTCAATGACTGCCGAGTACTTCTTAGCTACTCATGTAAAATACTTGACATGATGGTTGCTCAAGGTATGTACCCCGGCCACGATTACAGACCTCCAATTAAGTGGACTAGCTTCCGAACCAGAAGTTGCGCCTGATTCGACGCCTATTGCTCTCCTAGGGATAGCTGCGGATCGAGAATCTCCAGTTGGCATGGATGACTTCATTGCCGTTGTAAACGCGGCGGTCGGTTATCTTCAGCACGAGAAATTCCAAAAGGCACTTGTTGCCCGAGGTGCTCTGGACCGTACCCTGGCCATTATAGTAGACTCTTGCACCCGGTTTGATGCTCAGCCCTCAACAACGAGAACGGGTGATACATCGCCGTCCGACCAGGACGATGCCAAGGCGTTGACAAAAATGCGAAATAACTTCATTCAGGTTCTCTCTGACATCTCGGCCCTTCCGGAATTCAAAGAAGCCTATCCCATCACCTCGCCATTCTGTAGCTGCTTACTACGCTGGCTGTCTAGTCCACAACCCCAACTGAAGGTCTGCGCATGCATCATGCTGGGTAATCTTGCCCGCTCCGATGCCACATGCGAAGAATTTGTCCACGTATCTCAGGTTCATACTATCCTCATCTCCATCCTAGTTGATGCAACAGACTCCCAGCTCCTCCATGCCACCATTGGATTTCTCAAGAATCTCGCATTGCCAGCCATGAACAAAGAGACCCTCGGTGATGCAGGTCTCATCGAAGTCCTTCCTCGCCTATGGGCTTTAGACATCCTCCAACCCATCCAACTCTCTGCTATCTCTCTGGCCCGTCAACTGACAATCGGAAACTTGAACAATGTCCGCCGAGTCTGCAAACGCCTCTCTGAAGATACCGACTCCCCGTCCTACACACGTACCAAGCTCTCCCTGCTTATAGCTCTCTTCGAGCGTACTGACGTCGTACCCATCAAGATGGAAATCTCCCGTCTGGTGACATCTATCTGCCGTGTTCTAAACACCAATGTTGGGCGCGAGATTACAGAAGCAGAGACAGCACAAATCCAGCACAACTTCTTCGCCTTGCATCCCGACGTTGGTCGCCCGCTGGCCTTCATGGTAAGCCAGACCAAATGGCCTGTTGTGCGAAGCGAAGGCTGGTTCGTCTTCGCACTCATAGCAAGAACGCCCGAAGGCGCACAATGTGTCAGCGATATGATGAAAGACGTAGGCGTCTTCAGTCTACTAGCCGAAACGCTTACTGGCAAACCATTCGTTGATCCCGAGCCTTCCTCGCCCGGTGTCCCTGCAGTCCCTGCTGGAGCGGGCGCCAGCCCATCGCCACCTGCGATCATGCCATCTGCCAACGAGGAATTCGAAGCACACAACCCCGAGAGCGTCCAGCCACATGCCCAAGCCAGCGAGATCAAGCATCTAGACCGTGAAAACGCCCTCCTACTGGTTAGCGAGGTATTGAAACACAAAGACGTGCGAATGTCTGCTTCGCGTCGGACAATATCTGAGGAGCTCCTCCGAAGAGGAACGGAACTGCTGCAGGCTCACCGAAAAGCGAATTCCAATCCCAACTGATAAGGGCCGAATACAGTCAGTAGGCCAATGGCACCGGACAATGGGGGGCGAGAGCAGGAGGATTGCACCCACAGGAGGCAACAGCGGAGCAGAGTTTCAGAGGGACTGTCCTAGCGTGTCCTGGCGTTCGCTTCCTTTGAATACTGAATACAAATGCAAATGCAAAATTGTAAAAAGCCCCCCTTTCAGACGGTGATTATCTTAAAAAAGTGGAAAAGAAGAGGAATATAATAGCAACAATAGATCTATCTATCTACCTATCTTTCTTTCTTTCTATCAGTGCCATCCAATGATAGATAGATAGCCTTGGTATCAAATTGCCTTGAAAAGGGGGGTTTTTTTTTTTTTTCAAAAGTTTCACGCCCTCGTCCCGACTGGTTCGTTGTTGGCGAGTGAGTGAATGATTCCATCGATCAATCAATCCAATATCCATTTCTGTCAGTTCCATCTCCGCCTCTCGATTCCTGTGCACTAACTACTTCCTACCAGCAGTTCCTCCTTCTTTTCCTCTTTCCTTTTTTTTTTTTCTCTCTTTCATCTCATCTTCTTCTATTCAGGTAGGTAGATAGATAGATAGATAGGTACCTACTTACTTTACGCAAAGACGTACTCTTACCTTCCGACTTGCATTCATAACATCTAGGCATCTAGACTTCTAGACTTCTAGACTTCTAAACATCTAGACACCTAGACAAGTTCTCGGCGCCTGCTCACTCATTCGCTCACTTACTCACTTACTCACTTGCCCGAACAGAACAGAACAAGAACATAACAGAACAGCGCTCACCTCACCTCACCTCATCTCATCTCAGATAAAACCTCCCTCCCTTTCTTTCGCCGCTTCCCAATCCAACAATCTATACATTCATCCATAGATACCCATCCCTACCCATCCAATCCATACCCATCCCATCCATACCCATACCCATACCCACCCCATCCCATCACCCATACCCCAAATCTCCCTTCATCTCAAAAAGATCTTCCTCCTCCTCCTCCTCCTCCTCCACCACCTCCTCCTCCTCTAGAACCTCCCCCCTTTTCTCGAGAAGATTTACATCCATCCATATTTATATCAGAATATATATATAAATATATATATTACAAAAGATGGACGTACGGTATATTCTACTCGCAAGCAACCTCCCTACCTACCTACCTACCTACCTACCTACCAACCAGCCTCCTCGAAGAATAGTCCTACACCAAGGAGTACATACACATACATGAGCATGCAGGTGAGGAACCTCGTGTTGAGATTAGGACATAGTGATATGTTCATGGATGTATACTATATATACTATATATGCGCGTACGCACACCAAGGGAGCCCTCGAGTTCTGGTACGGCTCTTCTTTCTTTCGAAATGAGGCAGACGTTCAGTCATTGAAGCGGTATATATCACCTCCATGCAGTAGATAGGGATGGAAAAGATTTGACAAGTCCAGGTGGCAGGCACAATTGCGATTTGGCAAGCATTAAAAAAAGCACGGGGAACGCAAAATAAAAAAATGAGTCCCATTCCAATTGGAAAACTCCGATGCAATGCCTGCAAACCCGTAGGCTTCTGCATATATACAAGATTATTAGTAGTAACCGCAAGAAGCGCCCCCATTCAGCCACCGTCCATGCATGCAAGTAAAGTCCCCCATTCCCATCCCACGCTAAATACCACCGCAAGCAGGAGAAAGCCCTCCTTCGCTTGCTCACATAAAAAGAACGCCGCCCTCCCATTATTTGCTCATGAATATGATGTAGCAAGTTGCGTTACATTTCAATCCGTAGCTCATGCCCTACCAGAAACTGCACCATCCGATGTAGTGCTGGCACAGATTCTCCAGCTTTGTCGCCTCGATCAGCAGCTTGTCAACTTGCACGATGAAGGTCAATTCCTCCTCGGGTTTGAAGTCGTGGCCAGTGAGCTTCTCCTTCACTCGGTTCAGTACCTGCATCGCGCGCTCGTTCTGCGTCTCTTGCACATCGATCCCCTCGGGGGCAGGGCCCTGGGATGTGGAGTTTGTTCTGGCACGAGGACGAGGTGGTGGACCGCCTGGAGCTGGCATCGGCTCAAGAGCCATGCGAACTGAGGGTGGCAAATCGTCCATCATCGATGGGCGACGGTCGGTTGACATCAAGGAGTCGCGGCGTTGAGATGGGAAGTTAGGTCCTGCTGGAGAAGTGTCGGCCGTGAGACGCCAGTTCAGAAGTGGATCGTGAATGAACTGTCATAGTCAGCATAGCAATTGTATAGTAATAGGAAGAAGTACTTACAGCTTCAAGAACTGCCATCAAGGACTCCTTGTTGTCGCGCAGAACTCTCATGACATTCTCACAAGTGATTCTGAAACTGCCTTCAATATTGCTGACCTCCATGGCGTATGTCAACATTCTTGTCAATCTGAAGGGCACCCGCTCAGGGTACTTCTCACGATGCATGGCGACTTCGAAGCAATCTCCAAAATCGATGTGGATGATCTTGCCAGTGATTCGATCAAGCATCAAATTGGAAGGATGCCTATCACCGAGACCAAGAATGTAGCCGACCATGGACATGACACCCAAGGATCGAGTGTAATTCGTACGACGCTCAAGCCAGGACTCCGAACTCTTGCTCTTCAACCAAAGAACTCTGTAGAGATCTTGGCCGGTAGTGTTGTCGAGAGCATATCCGAACACCTCAACCTTCTGCATGAGAGTAAGGCCATCGTAGTCGGGAGCCATCTGGAGCATGATACGATGCTCAATGTTAAGCAAGATCTTCCGGCTTTCTCTGTACTCGCGAATGAGCACATGAAGAGTATCACTATTCGGTACCCAGCCCAGGAGACCAGAGTTTTGGGACAACGGAATGGCAGGATATCTCTGGATGTTCAAGTGTCGCTTGTACGACTCGGTATCGTTAACCATAAGTGTGTTGCAAAGGCCGAACAATTGCATGACACGCTCATCTTGACGGATATCCTCGTGGCCCTTGAGCACGAAAGCATATGCAGTGCCATCGCTTCCTTGAAGACTGAGTTTTCGAGGACGCTGCTTGGACGAAATAACAGTGAAGGTAGTTTCGAAGTGCATAATCCTAGTGACGGGCTTGCCACTTTGATAGGTGCCTGGTACGGCCAAGTCAAGATCCCGAGCATTAAGAAGCTTTGGCGAAACATAAGCCAATTCGAGGTTGTTGAGTTGTGGAAGTTGGCGAGCAATTCTCCTGAATACGTGGTAGTAAAGATCCCAGGCCTGGTTGATGTCGCCCATGTCCCCAGATTGTCTGTACGTAAAGCACCACTCACGAGCTTCCTGGAGGTCGCGGCCGAATGTCTGGGCGAATGAGATCTCACGGAGAGTCTCAGGTCCTTGGTCGAGCATATCATGCAGCGGCGCCAGGGTGGCAAACATGCCCTCAATGTTTCGATCACCGAAATAGAGTCTCGAAGCCTCTTCCAGACCCTCATGCCAGAGCTCGTGCCAAAGTACGGCGACGCGGATAAGTTCGTGACTAACAAGGTCAGCCTGCTCAACAAGTTTGGCGCTATGTTGACGCATGCTATCCATGATTTGCATGGCAGATCTCGATCTCCTGGTGTTGGGGGCCGACTTCATTGCAACAGTCAACGGATAGACCAGAGCCTGGGGGTGAGCTCTACCGACGTCTGCAAGCAGATTGTGGATCGATAGTCGAACGCGTTGGTTGGGCTGATTGATCCGAGCGATCAACTGAGGAATGACTTCGAGCCATGTGTCAACACTGACGGACGCAAAGCCTTCAGTCACAGCTGCATTGACATCTGGACTTCCTCCATGTGCAAACCATAAAGTCAGAAGGCGCAGAGTATCCTGTAGAGAACTTCCTTGCGAGAGGGCGATCGATTTGAAGAAACCGCGGACCGCGGGCACAACAAAATCGACCAACACGTTGGGTGGCACGACCAAGTCTCTATCTCGCTCAGACCGGTGGCCCAAAGCCTGAACGATCTCAAAGTTCGCCAAAGCCCAAGCATGCCAAGCTTTGTACCACGTAGGATTGTAATGCGTAGCAGCACGGTAAGAAGTCAGAATTTCATGGACACTTTCGTCTTTCCAGTTTCCCTTCTTCTGTGCAACTTGCCATTCGCCCTGCTTCAGACAGCACCGAGCAAGAAGCCTAGTATGATCAGCCAAAAGCTTTGATACCAACTGTGGGTTCGGTGGTTGTTGTGGACCGAGGCCATTGGGAATGAATCCATTTGCGCTGGGTACTCCGTTGATATTGAGGCTACTGATATCGATACCATTGATACCCTGAGCAGCAGCTTCGACAGTTTTCAACCGCTCCGCCAGCTCCAACGAGAAGATTTTCAGGGCATCTAAAGCATCATCTGGTCTCCCAGCAGCCCAGTGGTATTTCAGGACTGCGTACTGCACAGGAGGTGGGATGCGTCGGGGCGTGCGTACTGTTTCACCGTTCTCAGCCGGATAGGGAAGCAGATAATCCAGACTCTCATCGGTTCCAATCAACATCTGTAGGTGCTTTTCTGCAAGACCCATGCGGCCAGACTTTCGGCAAAGATTGGCGAACTTGATCATCATCGGCATATTTTCAGTAGGAGATATGACCAAAGCTCGGAGCTTCAGCATTCTTTGCCAAACTTCGACATTTCTCTGGCAACCAAGAAGACGTTTCTCCCAAGTGTGGCGCATTGTCTCTTGTTTAGCAGGATTATCGGCGCTCTGCTTGTAGACAATGAGTTCCTCCAACTCAGCCAACATTTGCACACGGACAACAACGGTGTAAGCCCGGTTGTACGACTCGCTGACCAACGCACTCAACTCGGTATCGAGACCCTCTCTGGCCTTTTGCACGTACATCGCTGTCTCGCGGAATTGGTTGCGGTGCAAAGCAAGAATAGCACCGAAGAATGATCTATCAGGCGTGTTGGCTTTCATGACACTCAAATAGTCATCCATCAAATCCCACTGTCCCAAGCCCCAGGCAGCTGCAGTGGCTAGAGGAGCAACGGCACGGCGAATTTCGAGGCCCGAGGTGTGCCATTTGTCTTGCGCAAGCGCAGAAAGCGAGTCCCACTCTCCCAAAGCATGCAGACATCTCATCTTACCCATGATAATGTCAAAGCTATCCGCCTGCTCAGGGTGTTCAACCTCGCGCTTTTGGTAGAATTCGAGAGCCTCCTCCCATCGCTCAAGTTTCTCGAACCAGGTTTCGCGTAATTGAATGCCGTCCGTGTAAAGTTGAGCCTTGCGAAGGATACCTATAGCGGCGTCATACTGCTGTAATTGATTGTTGATCTGGATAAGTGCCTCGACTGCTCCGCTCGATTGGTCTTGCAGAAATTCAAGTTCCTTGTAGTGTAAAGCCTTGGCCCAGGCGTGACATCTACCAGCTTCTCGACCAAGAACCCGAATGTCAATTGGGAGGGCTTTGTCATCATGCTCCATGAACTCTGCGAGGTTAAGCAGAATTCCAAGAAGATCCGGTGTTACATGTGGCGATCGGATAGCCGTCTCAATATTCTGAATGAGGTCGTCCTGGTAGGTTTCAAAGAGGTCCCCCCAGCAAGAAACAAATGCGGAATTGAATAACTCTCGAGCAAGAGGAGGGTATATGGAAGCAAGGCCAGCGCAAGCTCTCAGGGCTTGATTCGGGGACTCGGTGAGAACGGTGACACTGAATCTGCGCATCCACTCTTGCCAATCTTCCTTTGTTGATTTACCAGAAGAGTCCCAAGCAGCCTTCAGGTGAACAGGGTTGGAGTCGAGCTTCTTATTCTGCACTTCTGAAGGAACCTCATCAAGGGAGTTTCGGAAGCGATCGTCGGCGTTCAGATCTTGAGGCAGTGGTTCTCCTCTTTGAAGATTGCCCACTAACTTCTCGTATTTCTCGTGCGCAATTTGGTTCGCGACCAATACTTTGTTGATAGTGCCAACAAAGTGAAGATAGTCCTTTCCAAGCTGGAAGATCAGAGCACATAGTGTGTCGAGCGCAGCGATTCTCAAAGAAATATCGTTGCCGTTCAGCACCCTCGCCAGGGGATGAACGATCTTCGATGCAAAATCGTTTAAATTAACCTGTCGGGATATCTTTCCAACTGTCTCAATAGCCAACTTTCGGATGAAAGATGGCTGTCCGGGCTTCTCGAAGACCATGACGACGACTGGGATGATCAAGTGCATGTACTCTTCAGAACTTGAACCGAAAACGAGGAACGCATGCAAGACTCGCTCGGAAGGAAGACGTCTGGTGGTAATATCCTTCTGCAGAATACCTAGCATAAGGGGCAAAATACCCGCAAGGTAAATCTTGAACTCTCCCTCTAATGAACGAGAAATGGCTTCGACCAGTTGAAGGATATTGGCCTGTAGGGTGGGACTGCTCTCCCAAAAATCCTGTAGCACCCTCACAATCTCTGGGAGGTAATTCCGAATATGCTGGCGGACAATGGTGACCAAAATACTGAGTTGACTGAAGTACGACTCTAGTCGGGACGGTGAAGCGGCTCGAATGACACCAATAAAGGCGGGAATGACTTTGTCAAGGAAAGGAACGCACTCCAGCTGCAATGTTCTGAAGATGGTCATGATAGCCTCAACAACAAGTGCGTGGTGTTGCGAAAGAGATTGGTCCTTGAGGATTTGTAGTAGGGCGTTTATCACAACCGTAGGGAAATACTCCTTGTTTGAAGGTGTGAGCCCATTCATCATGAGCGAGATATCGGTCATCTGGGTCGACTCAAGGCGCAGTTGAGTTTCGGGTGATTTTTCCTCAACCTGTTGATGTCTATACGGATCCAGAGCTCCAAGAATGCCCATAAGCTTGATGGTCTCCTGACGCAAAGGTCCCCGATTGGGTTCCGATCGAATGATGTTTTGTAGGATCTCAAGGAGGGGTGGATGGTCCAAGTACGGCTGGATAACATAGCCTGAGTTGCTTGCCAGTTGGCCAAGGGTCTTCAGAGCTGCCTCGCGCTTAGACACCGAGCTTTGGTCTTGCAGAGCTTGGAGAATAATCGGCATGAGTTGGTCAAGATATGGAATCATGTCCTCTCCACCCACCGTCGACAGGTCACCTATAGCCTTTAGGACAGTACCAGCAACCGCAGGATTGGGATCCGAAGCTTTGGGAAGCAGAACTGTAACCATCGGGTCGACGTATGGCTTGATGAGTCTCTGTGAGTTTTGAACGAGAAGGCTCAACAGCTTGGCACTCTCCTCCTTGTTCTTGGCAACATCAGAAAACTCTAGTTCCGTGAGCATCTGGATTAGCACTTTCCGCAAAGAGGGAACTACGTAAGCAGGGTTGACTTGTGTCAAACGGCCGATGATGGCAATGGCCACCTCTCTTATGCTGAACATCTCATCATTCAAGGCAAAGAACAGTGTTCTGATGTTTTCAGCCTTCGCCAGGTGTCGGTCAAAACGCTCATCCAACGCAGCGAGAACAGTTCTGCGAATGTTAGGATCTGGGTCAGCCACTCCAACCGTGAGTAGCTTCTCGATGACCTCGCTGACCACCTGGATGGCATGGTAACTTGTCTGGTTGACTATCGGGTCTCGGACGTAGAGTTGGCAGCACGTCAACGCTGCTGCCTCTCGAATTTCAACATTCTCATCTTCGACGTACTTGATGGCAACATCACGAACAAACTCGTTCAGAACGTGGCCTGAGAAGTCGAAGCTGCCAAGCGTATTCAGAGCGAGCTTGATTTCAGTCTGGCGATGCTCATAGGCAAGCGGATCCTTCGAGTCTTTAGGCACAACAGGTGCTGCAGCAATGCTGTTTGGCGTCGGAGCTCCAAGAGGCTTAAAAGGTTCGCCACAGAGGACCTTGCTTAGCATATCAAGTAGCCGCTCTTGGATTGTGGACTTGACAGGAGGTATGTAAAATGCCATATCAACCAATGCTTGTGTAAGCTTAGGGGTGAGCTCGCAAGCAAATATGGGGTCCAGCAAAGCCTCCATGTACTTGCTTAAAGTCTGGCCGACTGCAACTGCGAGTCTGCTAATACAATCGAAAACAGGATCTACCGTCCCGCTTCGTCTTCTATATAAAGTTAGTATTTGGTTTGAATGTAGCAATTTATATAACTTACGATTTCAGGCTTAGTCCTTCTCTAACGTATATCAGAACACCGTCCAAGTAGGGCGCAATTGCACTCTTGACTGCATTCGCAATATTGCCAATTGCCAAAAATGCGTCATTGCGGTCCTTGTCTCTCTTTAGCATCCCAGACAAGAAAACCATGTACTTGTGAAGATAGCTTTGAGCAAATTCCGTAGGAGAGTAGTTTGCCAGCTCTGGAATCAACAGTACAACAGTCTTTCGAACGTGAACATCCCGATGGTCCTTTTGCCGAAATATAATCTCACAGGCCTCCTGGTAGTGCTCATGCATAAACATGCCTCCTTGCTGAAGCAAGTCTTTGATAACCAGTAATGAGCCGTGGATGTACTCCAGTGAGCCTTGTCTGACACCAAGCACAGCTTCTTCGTAGATTTTACCTTGCCATGTTTGTCGTAGTCCTTGGTCCCTCTCCCTAATAATCTGGAAGCAAGCACTGATTGCCTCTGAGGCAGTCTGGCGGATAAGAAGTCGGATATCTCTCAGACCAACCCAGATTTGATCAAAGACCAATCCCACGAATGCGTACATAAGTGTTGGAGCATTGCGGGCAAGCTCTCGCAGGATAAGAACCGCGCTGTATCGTCTCTCTTCCACTCGGTCCGACTGTAGCCATTCAAGTGCTGTCTTGACTTCGGCTTCGACCAACTCTGATACTAGGGATCCTCCTGGTCTGCATATCTTTCCTAAGGCCGCGGCCGCATGTTGCATAGGAATCAAGTCCTTGCCCCTCAAGACTGTGCGCAGTGACTGCGTGAATCGTGTTGTCTTCGTTCCATGGTCAACACCGTCAAAATCGATCAGCGCATCCAGCGCATAAATCCCTCCAATCTTCTCCGCCGGATCATTTGAGTGTGAGATAAATTGATTGATCCTGCTATTAACCACGGCGTAGAACTCCGTAAATCGCTCGTTCGTAAGGTCTGCGATACAAGTTAGTTAGTGATTCTCCTATGAGGCATTTCCCCCTCTGACGTCAGACAGACCTCTGTATGCGACAAGAACCACCTCCTTCAATTCTGCCGCGGCACGCTTTCTGGTCTCATCGCTATTTCTGTGCAGAGCATTAGAAAACTGCTTGTTCCTTCGCGACATCAGTCTCGAGGGATTCATACCTGGATCTCAAGTCATTTGCAATGCGGCCCAGCGCCTCATGGGCGAGCTGCGACATTTCTGGCTCTGTCCCTCTTCAGATGCGCGCCATTTTGGCCGTATTGCATGCGTTCTCTGTTTTGCTGTAGAGGTAGTTGTGAAGGGAAGACTTGCAGAAGAAGTAGAGGTGCTGACGTCTGGTGATGGTGATCAAGCTCAAAAGTAAACGGGTATGCTAGTTAATTAGCGTGTTGGATAAGCGGTTTATCAGCAGGGGTGGGGCTTGGCAAAACCTGAACGGAAAACACATCTCGTGCCGGGCAGCTTGCATTCCTGCCAGCGAAGCACGAGTCACAGGTAACATTCACGAAAAACAATAGCTAGAAGCTACCACCGATCATGGGTAATGATGGAGGTTCCATTCCTACTCGGCGCGAACTCGTCAAGAACGCGGCCCGCGCCCTCAATACCACCGAATTAAAAGCTACTCAGCAAGAAGCACAAACACACGCCTGGACTTGGTGCCCACTCTCCAACCGTCCTCTCAATGTACCCATAGTCTCGGACTGCGCCGGGATACTCTACAACAAAGATGCGATCATCGAACAGCTGCTACCCAAAGACCCAGATACACCCGCCACGGTCATCAAGGAGAAAGAAGATGTCTTGCAAGGACGAGTGAAGGGCTTGAGAGACGTGGTTGAGATCAAGTTCAATGTGGCAAAGGAGAACAAGGAGGATAAGTGGATATGCCCAGTAACAAGCAAGGAGTTGGGACCGAATACCAAGTCTGTTTATTTGGTGCCTTGTGGACATGCCTTCTCGGAGGCAGCGATCAAGGAAGTCAAGGGCGATGTTTGCGTGGAGTGCAACGGAGCTTACAAGGAAAGCGACATCATCCCGATCATACCGCTCGCCAAAGAAGATATTGCCAAGTTAGAAGAGAGGATGGTGAAGTTGAAGGAGGCGGGGTTGACGCATACGCTGAAGAAGGCGCCGGGGAGCAAGAAGAGGAAGAAGGGAGAAGCAGCTGCGGACACCAAGGAGGTTTCTCACAAACCTGCCCCGTCGTCTGGGATCAAGAATTCAGCCACCGCTTCTCTGACTCAGAAAGTGCTCGACGAGCAAGAAGAACGGAACAAGAGGCGCAAGATGGGGTTGAACGAAAACCTCAAAAGCCTGTTCTCCAATACAGGATACAGTGCCCAGACTCACAAAAGCGGCGATTTTATGACCAGAGGATTCTCAATACCCAAGAAAAACTAAGGCGAGGCAGGTAATTAGCATGGAGTTATGGCGTTCCTGGAGGTCGGGGTGCATACTTGGGAAGGGTAGTTGGTTGCCAGGGGTTTTGAATGGGTTCACGTCAAGCTGCTCCAAGTGAGCAGCTCAAGATGCAATGCTCAGTTCCGTTTATGATGTGCCTTTAAAACTTGAGCACCTTACGAATTTTCAAACCGTACTAGTGCAAATGGTAATAGCACATGAGACTGGATATTTCTTATGTGAATAGGTGATTGATTCTAACATATTCAAACTTCCACCGATGCATTCAAGGTCCATGTACTGTTTGCTGTAACTAGAATGGAAACTGATACTGTTTACCCTTTAAACGCTCAAATAATTTACATGTTCGACATGCCATCAGTTTTCCTGTAACTCACAACTCATCTTTCTTGCCTTCCGGCTTCTTCTCCTCTGTCGCTTCACAAGCAGCTGGTGTTCCAACCTCCATCTTGTACATGCACTTCTCTTCCTCGACCACCTTCCAGATCTCGTCCTTCTCCGCACAAGCCAAGACAACTGTGGTCTGTCTGTTGGGCCCGTTCCAGCAATTCTGCCCATTCTCATAACTCAACACTATCCTCTCCCCCCTTCCGAGACCCTTGCCGTCAGCACTGATCTCCTCATTGACGACCATCTTGTCAAATTTGACAAAGTTGCCCATTCCCGTATGCGAGCCGCCCTTCTTGCTCTTCTGCTTGGTATTACCCATCCAGCAGAGCTCATATTCATATTCGCCTGAGTCTTTGGAGATGCACTTGTCCTTGAGAGCGCGGAAAATATCGTCTGCGCCGTAGTCTTTCTCTAGATCTCTGCGAAGCTCACCTACTTTGGAAGACTTTGTCGAGACCTCATCGCTGACAGCTTGGAGGGCAGAGCGTGCGTCAGAAACAGTTTTGGATTCAGACCCTGAATTGGCATGATCGGCTAGAATTCCGTTCTCGATAAGCATGATGCGGACGTCAATAATCCTTTGGTGTACCCATTCGCGAATTGGTTCAGGGAGATATTCTTCGAACTTGTAGACTGCGATCTGTCAGTGAGGTCCTTAAAGGTGGAGGGGAGGG